CTTTGCCAGCGTTACTTCGACTTCAAACATCCCGCTCGCCTTAGTTAGTTAGACCCTTTGTGAGAAACTTAAATATTTTTGTTTATCCTTTTTTAAAAACAAAACAATAATAAGTAGTAAGCAAGCAGCAAGTTCTACCTCGTCCTAAGTTGCGTATTAACGGGCGATGGGCCTTATTAAAATTTTCGCTTTTACCTAATCTTTTATCGGGTCAAGAGCTATATCTATAATTATAACAACTATAGATGTTATAAATCACCTGATATGTCAGCTATGTACCAGCTAATAGTTTAATATTGGTTATTTACGGCTGAATGATACAAACTGTGAGCAGACATTTTAGTTTTAAGTTAAATTTGAAACTAAAAGCGGGAAACAGAACTTAGTGCGTTATTATTGCTGGCATGGTTGACGTAGTGTCAGGGGCAAGTGGCCGCTGTGCTACGTGTCGCGAGTTCGATTCCCGCACAGAAAAATACTTCGTGTGATTCGCTGTGAACTGTTGTTTCGTATCGGGGTGGTTTGTGAATATGGATTAGTATGTTTGTTAACGCACCTGGGACACAAGAGAAATTGGTGGTAAGGGCAACGTTTTTTCAAAAAAAGGAATGCCGGCTGTAGGTCTTAGGAGGCGTTCACAGTTGCCTATCGGATCGAATTCAATAACTATCTGCCGGTAATTAATCAGTACATTTAGCTACTATAAACTTTTTTTTTGTATATGTACGAGTCGCCAAATCTCTTGACATATTTTTAATAATTAGAACTGACCGTTAAACTGTTGGTACAGTCAGCCAAACACTTTGTGTACAGTTTAATTTAGAGATTTAGTGTTGAGACAGGCACAGTATTTTATTTGATACTGGGTCGCCAAAAATTGATTATATATAAAAATTGTCTAGTTTAGTATATACTATATTATAGTGGGTACCTATGTAAACCTCTATACCTACCATATATAAACTAATCTTTATTTTCTAGCTTGCATTACGCATACGGAGAAACTGTACCGAATGCACTTGATTCCATTCTAAGGCCTATGACGGCCATATTTAAGTAACTAGGTATCAATTTATCGGAATCTAAATATGTATTAACAAAATTATTCTACTAGCTTTGATTTTTTTTGATTCTACTACTAGATAGTAAGAGGTAAATATTCACTCGCAACTTCTAGCCCTCAATTCCCAACTCTCTCTCTCTCCCTCTCTCTAATATTTTTAACTAAGTAGATTCAAATCAAAAATAGGAAGCAAATAATGATATAGGACCCAAATACCCAATCCTTCATTAAGTAGGTGCATATTCTATCTATCTCGCTATAGATAGGTACAACAGGTACTTATGAGTTTTAAGGAAAATTGAAATAATAAATACTTAAAATAATTTCTTTGTTGAAGTAAGTAGCGTTAAATAAAGAGCCTACATTAAAGCTATAAATAAACTTATCAACATGTCCTTTTTAATCGAGCATGTCCTGATCATTCCATACAAAAGCACTCGTGTCATCTTGATTCACGAGCAATTAAGGTGACTGCCAGCAGCCAAAACAATCGATCGTTGCAAATGGCCGTCTCGTTGACACGCACTTGTCAGACGCGCGCGAGACAGTCTCGAGTCTCTCTACATTAAACGAACTGCCAATATATGCTTTATATTGCAGAAATAAGATTATTTTTTTTACTGATAGCGTGCGGCGATGAATGATATGTAATTTTTAGGTCACGTTAGGATTAAATTGAATGATCCCACACATGACACACAAAAGTACAACTGTAGTAAATCAAAGTTTAAGACTGTTCATTAGGGACAGAAATAGATTTCACCAATAAGTGTCTTGATTCAGATTTATACCTTCAATAGAAGCGAGGAGCTTACATACCTAGTACCTACCGAACTTCGATCACTACATTAACTACAATGGTCAGTACCAGTGGGTTAGTAACTAAAGTTAAAAAGTTAGATAGTCTCTAGTAGGTAGCTATACTATAACTACCTACAAGAAATTTTAATTTGTAGATTATGGTGCCTATAAGTACGGGCGCACTCAGCTGATCGCCAGTGGGAAGCGGACCTGTTGCCAACCGCATTCTCAATTAACTGTTCTTAACAGTACCTAATGAAATCTTTGAACAAAATCGTCAATTAATTAGATTAAATATTATCATTTACTGTGAGTTGAAATAATTATCATGATGAATATGCTCGGCACATAAGACAACTTTAATGATAACTTTATAAAATGCAGAAACTGTAGGTAAGCGTTTAAGATACGTATTAAATTTAAACTCGTAACAGTGTCGCGTCCTTGCTTCTCATGATAAGGCATGATTATATTTATAAAAGTAACAAGCACATGTGTACATAAAATTAATGGATATTTGACAATGCTATATTTCATGAACGATATATCAATTTTTGGACAATATATCTTAATAATGTTCAGAGATGCAGTGATGCGATAACTGATTTATCGATCGTAGTCATCGTTTTGGCAGGATGTTGCCTGTGGGTCAAGGGGAAATCAATCAATAGGAGCGAAAGTTATGGTACTCGGACAGAATTGTTCGATTTGAATAATTTTGTAGATTGAAGGTCCTTTTTCCACACCACCTGAGAGGTAAGAACCGTAGGTGCGTTTTTTTTATAGAGGTCTCCCCGGTAGGCCTATTCCTCTTTGCTATGTAATTCACAGTAGGCAGTAACCGGTGGCCTTCAGTATCATCTGGAAAAAAATTGTAGTGCAATTTTGTCTAACAGATTGGGATCTTCGAGGTCCCAAAACTGAGGTAGCGTACGGTGTCGAGATTAGGTAATGTGTCAGGAATTGTGTCATTCAGTTAAACGGAGGCGGTGCGTTTGCACGTCGATTATATGAGTCGAGGGCAGTGTTCCTCGGCCAGCGCGAATGGCAGACACAGAGACGTCGACCGCCTACTCGGCTACTCACCTACTCTACGTCAAAACCGCGATTGGCAATTGTGATAAGCTAAAGGGCATGTCAGCTGTTGCGGAATTATACATTTTGGCAATTAAAAAGATAAGGATAGTTTTGCGAAATGAATTTTAAAACGGACTAACTTAATTTTGTCCTGTTTAAAGTGTCTTGTCTAATTTCAGATATTATTCTGCCCATCAAACATTTCAGAAGATAGAGGTTTTGGAGATGGCAAATTTATAAAGAAAGAACACAATAATAGATAAATAGTTTCAAGCAGCAAATGCGGTTTCTTGTTTCTTCCAAATACTTAAGTTTTATTTGTTATTTTTATCAACCTGGTATAAAGTTTTGTGGTGGCGGCCACGCACTCTTACCAAATAGGTGAATAAAATTAACAAATAAGACAACCATCTTTCATTCGTCCCTTACATTTCACAGTACACAAGTTCATATCAGCATTGACTACTTGAAACTCAAATTGTGTTCCTCTTGTATAAAAAGACCACATTTTGCATTTATATCTTGCACCTTCTCAATACACTTCCAAGAACGCTAGTGATGGCTTTATCAGCTTGGATATTCTATAAATAACGTAGATACCTAACTGGTGATCTGGGTCGGTTCATAATCGTGGGAATACCTAACTACTATCCAGAAAAATCAAGTAGATATTTATATTAATATTGTTTTGCTAACAAAACATTTACGTTTTGGATATAAGCAGGCTTAAAATTAAATGACAAGTTGGTTTATAAATTCAATTTATCCAAGAGAGACCGACAATTTATGCGTGCACTAACATACGAGCGTTATTATTGGAGACAAGAGCTAGAAACTATAATTAACAGCATACAGATACAAGATCTTAATTTACACCAAATTTGATCAATTCTATCAGTTACAACACGACACTGACGTTTATCTATTAGTAAACATAATATCTTACTTTAGGTATTAAATTGACTGAGATGTGCATTACAATAAACGTTCCTAGAGACACATAGACGGAAATATTATGATTTACTTGACTTGAAAGGACTTCTATTTCGATTCACATTTTTTCATTGCCATGTTTCAACATAGTTACTAAGTGACAATGAGACCTAACAGTGTGCTATCAATTAATTTTTGCGCTAAAATTGTTCAATTAATCGTAAGCTATACGCTGTGGCACTGGAGTTAACGTTATCGTCAGCGGTCGAAGCCCCTTGCTCACGTTACCAGATTACATGCTAGTCTGAACTTTGATAGCCCTGTTTTCGCAATTACAACTATTTCGCCCCAACTTTTGTGTCATTTCTATATTTACTAATAAAAACATCCACATAAAAACTCAAATAAGATTCATATTTTCTTTTTAAATTTCACTTAAAATAGATTTATGCTAAGGGGCCTCGGTGAATGAGTCTTAGAATTTCAATCACAAATTTCAAATACCATTTAGTTTGATTTTGCTTGCATTAGAATACTTAAGTAGGTACCAAAATACTCTATAGAGGTTTACATTGACCGTTGCAGATTTTATTATTCAAAAGTTGTCGGAGACGATCGCGATAGCAATCTCAAGTTGTCGTGTTCTACAGACAATGGCACACAATATACGCGTCGAAGTTGAAGCAATCATTGGCTAATTAAAATTTGCTGTGCGTGACGCGACCACGAAGTGCCTTACTCACTTATAGGCTGCACACGTGCCTGTCAATGAACTTCGTAGACCATGCCAATAGCCGGGCACGCGTTAAGCCGCCAAAATTCTAGACTCAGCCGCAGATCTACCCGCTGTTGTCAAGCAACTCTTTTGAATTTCAGGATAATGCCGCGTTCACTAACATTTTGCAAAGCACTACTTTCTTTGAACTTTTTATCACAAGAATACATGGAATTTATTACAGCAGATTTTTTAACTGTGTAATTTATCGCCTTTTGGTTCCTACAAATGGACTAGAGTTTCTATCTAGACTAAGGGCATCGAACTTAGTTCTATATTGATATTACACTACACAATACTTTATAAGTATTAAAACTGATTACTTATTACGAACTTAATTTCTCATTGGTACTAACGTGCAAATATGAGGACATTGTCAGTCCGGGCGAGGAAGTCGTCCTGTTCTGTGTGGGTGACGAAGGTACGGCTCAGAGCTGGTGCATCGGCTTGCACACCAGCCGATGGTTTCCGGCGCTCGAATCGTTCCATCATGTCTGCGGGCACGTGTGGCAGCTCTCGTCCCGTCGTGTTTGGGGCTTGAGTGAAGCCAAGTTTGGCGAGCAGGCTCTCACGGATCACTCTCAAGCTGTGTTCTCTCGCGTTTTCGTAAGAGCGGCAGGAGGCGCACGCGATCTGAGCCGCTGGTGGGTCCTGGGGACAGGCGAGCTCGGCAGCTACGGCCGCCAGCCACGCGGCCAGAAGCAGCAGGCTCGCGGGCCTGGCCCGCGGCCCGCGCGACGCGCCCAGCGGACGCGTGGTGCGGCAGAGCGGGGAGGCGGCGGCGTAGCGCGATGAGCGATGTGCGGCCGCGGGCGGCGCGTGCTACACTGCACACGACTCACATTCGACACTAGAGTCGCACGCCACGCCACGCGGCGTTGCTCGGGGCGCTGCAGCCGCCCCGCACCGCCAGCCCCGCTCGTCCCGCGGGCTGGCCTGCTGACTCACCGCGCTGGCGGCGCCAGGACTGCGCTGGGAACTCGGAAAATGCGCCCAATGATGAAGTTTCACAGATAGCGCGCTACGCGCCGCCCGCCCTATAGGTACTACGACACTCCGACTGCCTGAAAAATAGTCAAGTAGTTATATACCTACTCAGATTTTCCATTTAATTACGTACATTACATAGGTTACGAAATGGACCATTATGAGTATGATAAAATTTTGAATCATCCTGCAAAATATCTAGGTAGGTATATAACGTTAAAAACAGAATTTAGACTACAAAGTGCAAATTACCAATTTTGAAAATGTTAACCCAGTGCTGAGCGGTCTGACCCAAAATACCTTCAGCTAATCAGTAATCCTTACTAACTAGTCTGTAGCCACGTATTCAGTATAAAATAAAATAATTTGGTTCAGTTAGAATTATTTATGTAGTAAATTCAAACAGTTTATTTTTACTGGTAGCTTACGAACTAAATCGTTGTGTAGAATAGAATAAATATTATGACAGTTCTCTCGAAAAATGCAAATATCTATCAGGTAACCGGTAATCATAAGTCTAGAGGAGTCTGGATAGTGTAACGCGTTAAGGAAAATTTAGAAAAGCGGTATGTAGGTGCAGGCGTGGTATGTAAATATCCAGTATCGGGTCGAGTATGTGAATAGCTTTCTTTCGGTAAATTTCTATAGCCATCACTAGGTTCCTAGACTATCCTGTATCCACATAGAGGTACAAAATCATAAATCAGACTCGTTCTCTTGAGGGTATTCTGTAATCAGTTGTGTCATGGAGCCAGTTATTTTAAGTGTGGGAGAGCCATGCTTCACGAATGGATCGGCTCGACCATAGTGATACCACGGCCTCACAGAAAACCGGCGTGAAACAACCTCAGCGTTGTGTTTCGTTCGCCGTGTGAGTCAGGTTACCGGTGGCCCAATCCTTTCCCTCCCCCCATCCCTAAATCTCCAAATCTGCAAAAGGTCGGCAACGCACTCATAATTCCTCTGTTGTTGCGTGTGTCCATGAGCGGCGCTGATTACTTACCATCAGGTAATCCGTTCGGTCGTTTGCCGACCTATAACATAAAAAAAAATGGAGGGACTTTTATAAAAATGATTTCTTTCTTTCTTTCACTATAAAGTGGGTAGTATAGGTATGTATATAGATCTGCGTGGTAGTAGACCTCATTTGTCCAATTATGAAAATTATAGCATTTCGAGAAATTGTGATTAAAGAGGTGGAGTGAATCATAACACATAGTAGATACCTAGAACAAGTAATAAAATTGACGGTTACAAGCTTTTTTAGTTACTGGGCATTAAATTTCAAATCCTACACGTAAATAAAAATATTTGTTGTTACGATCTACAAATTGTGGTACCTAGACTGTGATTGGTTTGTTGACAATGGTAGGTAATTTGATAAATAATAAAATGAATGATACCTATCTAGGTACGTATTTAAGAAAACTGTAGGATTAGCTTTGGCATAGTGGCTTGGCAACCGCCTGTTGCGCAACTCGTTCGATTTCAGTAAGGAATAACTCTTTGTGTGGTACACGTAAAGAAGTGTATTATAGGTACTATATACTTACACTTTTTGTTCAGGTCTTGTCTACTAATACTTACTTATTAAATATTTGTATTCATATATCGTATATTTTTGCCGTCTGGTGACATTCATATGTGGCTGTTAGGTGACGATAGAATAGATTTGTCACCACCCTGGCTCTTACTGCTGGTCAATGAGATATAACCACTTATGCGTTGTGGTTATATCCTCTTTGCTGCGGGTAGATAAACTACGACTAGCGGAATAGGGAGTAGGTACGTCCTAATCCATAGGATTTTGTCTCTGAAAAAAGAAGTATGTGCCTGCTAATACATATTGACAGAGACTGGGCTATAGTGCTTTTAGATAAGTTTGAACATTATGAACTGCGGTCTCCAACCCGCCTGCTATGTTTTTTTCTGTGTCGTGGAAAGACTGTTTAAAATAAAATGTAGAAAATCTAAGTGTTCGATGACCGAGCCAGATCGCCATGGGGATCATGGGGAGGGAGAAGTCATTTATAATTTTCTACCATCTATAAAAACAGGTGTACGATCTTCCCTTTGAACCATGGTGACTCGGATACTACCGTATCTGGTTTTCGTACGTGAGGACGTGGGTATTTTTTTTAAAAAAACATTGCCCCACACTAGTATTTTCTCCTGTGTCGTGGGTACGGTATTAAACATACAATTCCACATACAATCACACCTAGACCCGGAACAACAGTTTGGATCACACAGAGTTGTTCCGCGCGGGAATCGAACCAGCGACACGTTGCGCGGCAGCCAGTTGCCCTGCCACCGCGTCAACCGTGCAGTCATGTATGAAACCTGGTAGGCACCAAATGCGAATGCACCAAATTATTACTGTCTAAGATTTTAGGCATCATTATTGGACGGTGTAGGACATCGCGAACGCGAAGAAGCCTTGAACTTATAATTTTTTATTGGCTATAATCTTTAAATCGCGAGTCTGCTGGCATTACGAACGAGCATTGTGATAAATGCTCATTTCTTGCGAGAAGTGTGGGTCCCATAGCTGAGAAATGCGGTTTAATTTTGTGGTCTCTACTCAATATTATTTTGAAAGTAATTTCAGTTTTTAATGTTTCAGTCAGCACAAAACTTCGGTCTACTGCCGTGCTGGCTCAGTTAGTGATTAAGAAGTATCTACAGGCCTCTGTGTACGTGCGCAGTAATATGTAATATTCTGCAACATTTTTAGTTTGTTAGATTAATAGCCTTCAGTTCTTACTCCCCAAAATTTAGCTAAGTATTTAACTAAAAAAAAATAGCTAAATGTTTAAGATGTCGAACAGTAGCACAAAGTAAACAAAACGCTTTCAGTCAGGTTAAACAGAGTAAGTGATTGATTTGTAGCCAAATTCTGGCTCTCAAATACCTACAGATAAATTACAGCAAATTGTGGTTAAAATTCTACTCACTAAGTGGCGCAAACACCTATTCACATAAGTAGGAGTTAACATAACACTGCACTGATTAAACATTTTATTTATGCAGACAAAAACTAGGGGGTATTAGGCAGTTCTCAATTTAAAATATATCCATTAGCTACTAAAATACCAACGAGGAACGGCAGGGCTTCCGAAACCTCAGCAGCAACATTGTGTGCAACGCTTTATACGTCTATCACTAGGGCAGCCTATAAAACGGTCGCGAGTCAAATGCAAGAACGTACCGCGGTCTTTGTTTGGAGTGGAATAAAGAATGGGGGGTTTTAGTCAGCAAGATTCTGACAGCCTCTCACGCCATACACCGCCACAAAAATGGCCTATAAAATGTCTCCATCGAGGTTTGCTGTGCCATCTAAGGTCACTGGGCGAGTGCTAAGAGATCCGCGCTATTATGCATCATGGCCCAAAATGCATAATTTTTTTGACTGCAAGTTTGGCGCGGTGGCTGGGCAACTGGTGGTCACGCAAAGTTTTCCGGTTCGATTCCCGCACGGAAAAACTCTTTTTGTGATCCACAAATTGTTGTTCTGGGTCTGGCAGTGGTGTGTATTTGAAATTTTATCTTTGTACGTAAAAACGTACGTAACGTACTTATGACACAGGAGAAAATCACAACTTTTTTTTAATATTTTGTAGCTTAATAATTTCATTTTCCTTTCGAAGTGTACAAACTGCAATTAAATAATACTGCAAATATACTATCTAGTAAATAAATCCTGTTTTTTTTTGTTGGGGAGAAATTACAAGACGTTATAAAAAGTATGACTGTATTAGACGCTAAAAGAACTTTTGCTTGACAAGTGCTATTATAATATTGACGACTTTCTTAACGATGACTTACTGATTGATATGTTTATTACACCTTTAATAAGATAACTTTAATTTCATCTTTCTTGACTTTCAATAATTACTTTCATTTTAATTCTTAATTTATTGTTATTGTATATTATATGGTGATTGTGTAAGTAAAACTTGTGGATGAATTGAGTATGAATGAAATACTTGTACCTATTTACTTGTACATTATTTGCATGCCATAACGGCAAAATGTGGAGAACCTTGCTATAAATAATTGAACTCCTATTGTATATTTTCTAACCCATGTTTGCAAACGAAATAAATGATATGATTTGATTAGATACTAGCCTTTCTTTCATAGGGGAAGGAAAACTCCAATTAATACGTCTAGGTGTAATGTAGACAAAGTACATTATACTTCTTTAACAGCCCTCGTGTTCATAAGAACACGACGGTAATATGCATTTTTGAAACTGGCTTTTCCCACTATGCCTTTTCAAGGATGGGCTACCTTAGAACGCGTAGGTACTAATGGCTAAATATTGTAGGTACTAAAGGGAAGTATGAAACCGGCAGTTAATCAAGTGTGGGAGAGCCAAGTTTCATCACGAATGGGTCGTAGTCAGTTTGACTGGAGTGATTCCACGGCCTCGGCCACAGCCGTTGAAACAGAGCCGCGATTAAAACCCTAATCGCATAAGGCCGGCTGATTAAGGTTTTGTTTATTTAAAATGTTATACTGAAAACAAGACCAAGTGTCTGTTATTATGTTAGAATTAAAGTTATTAGAGCTTTTGGTAGCTGTCATTCGAACATGGATTTATTTACTTCACTTTACGGTTTTGGAAAAAATGCACAACTCTAGTTTTGAAATGTCAATGTCAGTTTTATTGTCAAATGTCACTTGTCAGTGGAATTGTGATTGTTTTGATCTGAAGACGTGCATTTTTTTTAAACAAATAATATTCCTGTATTATAATTTTACCACTGCAGACCTGTATAATGGAGAAATGTCGAATATGTTTACGACATCGGAAAAAACTACTTTCATTAAGTACCAAATTAAACGGAATTACATTTGGGGAAATGATGTCTGCAATTGCTAACATTAAGGTTTTTATAAATGTTATTCTTGAGCTTGTTTATAAATAGCATAAACATAAAAGATGAATCAGATTACATGAGTTTACCATACCATAGTTGAATAATAATAATAATGACAGTTTCGTCCAATTATATTTACTTTTACAGATTTCAAACGAAGACAGTTGTTATGATAAGCTATGCCGACACTGTCGTGAAAAATTAATAGACGCATACAATTTTAAAATTGAAATTGAGAGGTAAATAATTATACTTCAATGATAACCATGACGACACACGAAAATGGTAAAAAATTGAATATGTAAAATCTCTTTTCAGATCTGAAATGATTCTACAAGAAACATCTAATAGAAAGAGAATTTGTTTTAGCAACTTAAGGGATATTAAAATCGACATAGAAATAGATACTGATTTTAAGCCAATATTACCAGCAATGGACAATTTTTATCAAAAACTAATTGAAAATGGGACCAACACCTTGTCATACAATGATACTTTAATAAAAAAAATTGAATTCCCAATTGAAAGTTGCAAAGAAAATAGTAAATCATTGTCTGTAGGTGAATTTTTGAATTCAATTAAAAATGAATCTGATAATGATTGTGATTATGTAAGTATATATGGAAATGAAATTACAATGTATCAGAAACTGTAGCATGCTAATCTTTAAATCTATAAAAAAATATTTATTTCAGCAGGCATATGAAATAGGTGCTAATGACTACTATTCTGAATCAGGCAGCAACTATAGTATTAGTGAGATTAAGAAAAAAAAGAAAAAAGTTAAGAAGCGGCCAAAAAACACTGGTGAGCTTATTAATTTGAATAAAAAAAGTTATGATAATAATTTCTTTCTCTTAATCAATAAAATTGCCAGATATGATTGGATGTTGGGTTGGCATCATAAAATTATGTTTTGTGTACAGATCATAGAATCTATAACCTGCATCGCAGGGAGTCCTAGAGGATCTAGAGCCCCAACCAAAACAATAATCAGACGTCTGGTAAATGCACTTGTTTGCTAACAACTCAAAAAGCAAACACATAAGTCAAATATGCATGGATCATTGACACAAAACAAGCACTATATACCTACAAAGCCATACTAATATTTAAATATTCTTATTATTTCAGGCTCTAAAGTAAATGAAACAGAGAAAAATAATGAACATCAGAAAGTTCTTGAAAAACCGCTCAAACCTAAATTCATCGAAGATTTGAGAGTAGTCCGCACAGAATCTGATGTAAAAAATAAAAGAAATAGAGTTAAAAAACCAAAGGCTTCAAAACTTAAAGTTTGCCCATATTGTGGAAAACTATCCAAGTCTCTAGATTATCATATTTTGATTCACACAGGTAATAATATAATGCAGTATACATATACTTTAAAGTAAGAGTACTGATTTTCACACGATTTTTCATCATTAAAAAATATTATAAATTGTGGAGATTTTAATTACTGCATGTGGAGAGATGGCTCTAAAAGCGAACGGTAGCTGTTTGTTATAGAATTTTCCTTTAAATAAACTGGACTTGTATGTATGTATGTTTATCATATTTTTACAGCTGAAAGAAAGTTCAAGTGTGATCAATGTGGAAGTGCATTTTTCACATTGTCTGTGTTAAATTCACACATTAAGCGTCACGCGGCAATTAAAAAGTTTAAATGTGACCAATGTATCGCCGCCTTCACCACCGAGGCAGGTTTACGAAAGTAAGTTTTATAGAATTTATTTTAGAATTTTGCTTCCAACTCTGTTGTAGCAGGGTTTGAAAAAGTTACCTACATTCCTGACAATGTAGGTAACTAAAATAATACTGATATTATTTTATTATGAATACACCATTGCCGTTGTCGCAGTATTGTAGTCTGAGAATAACCCATTGCTTAGCATAGATCGAAAAATCTACCTATAGCAACGGCAATTTTGTATATTATTATGTACGATTTTACGAAATCAAAGGTGTGTATTATTCGTATAAAAAATAAACTATTTTGTTTTATGCCTACCATCATTTTTTCACAGCCACACCATTATGCATCAAGATGAAAAGAAATACGTGTGCAATGTTTGCAATAAATCATTTAAAAGGGTATGTATATATAAGTACAAGTGTCTTTATTAGTTTGTAAAAATATATTTCCAAATTTTTATTTGAGCGAATTAGTTAGCAGAGAACTATGTAAGTATGTACATAGGTACAACTTCCATTGTAAAATAGTTGTTTGTGCTTTATAAAAGCTTTACAGTGTTTGGAATTTCACTTTCCATTCAGTTAAAAATGTTGGCTAACATTTCCATTTCCATGTTAAACAATATCCGTAATGCATCGATAGATCCAACTAGATAAGTGTAAGAGAACCATGTTTCGACACGAATGGGCCGGCTCGACGGAAGTGATACCACTGCCTCACAAAACTGGCCTAAAACAACTCTTTTCTTCTGTTTCCCGTGAATGAGGATATAGGAGGCCCAATCCTCTTTCTTGCCCAAAATTCCCAAATATCCTCAGATTCTTAGCCCCTAAATGGAAATCTGGTGGTGTGCGGGTGTCCAACATTCAATGGCTACATTGCTTACTGTGAGGTGACCTATCTACTCGTTTTCCCTATCCTATTAAAAAGGAGTAAATAAGTAACTCCGTACTGATATTTTTTTACAGAAACCAATTTTAACACGGCATAAGATGATACATAATTTCGGCAGCAAACCCATACAGTGTGAACTATGCCCTATGACGTTTAATACTAAGTACAATTTACGACATCACATGCGCGTCCATACTGGCGAGCGGCCTTTTAAATGCGAGGTAATACAAAACTGCTTTCATTTATTTACTGATTCAAATTAAAAAAAAAACTGCCAACCACACTAGGATTGTCTCCAATGTGAGATATGTCGATAATCAAATCCAGAACAACAATCTGTAGTTTTTCGGAACGGGAATCGAAGCGCAATACGTTGCACAGCATTCGGTTGCTTATCCACTGCGTCAACTGCCAGTGAAAATAACAAAAGATGTTCAATAAAAAAATCATAACCCTATCTCATTAAATGTGGACTGATTGGTTGTTAATGCTGATAAATTGGTAGAATGTCTCCTCAGTCAGAAATAATTTTCATCAATAACGTCCGTTTCAAATATATTATAATAATCTCCGCCAAAATTGATTAAAGTTTTACGATTTATATGTAAGGAGTATAAATATAATTTATTGCGCATTTCGTTTGAAAAAGTTACAGTGACTTGATATTTAAAGTTACGAGTGATTCACTCGGCGTCGGTCCCTATCGAGTATTTATATTATTATAAGACGAAATGTTACATACAACTGTTCAATAATTTCAGATTTGTTCGCAACCGTACAGCTACAAACATGACTTCAATAGACACTGTCTTAAGAAGCATGGCGTATTTTTGAAACGAAGATCGGTGCGTGTTATGAATGAAGAAGTTTTGCAACAAGAGAGGGCTCTTATGAGAGAACTGTCACTCAGGGCTCACGGGATTATAAAGGCTGGTGAAGTTGAAAACCCATTTGATGGACCCCAGGCGGCACTGGCGTACGAACAAGCCATAAAAGCAATTGAGGCCAACAAAATACCAATAATATTCTGAATTGTTTTTTGTTGTATGACAACCAAGTCTATTTCAGTTGCCTTAGGTATAGGTACTACCTACATAGATGTACGAGAATACTAGATAGATAACCCTTTATAATAAATATATATGCAATAGATACATTTTTAAGAGAATATTATATTTTTTATGTTTATAAGAATCATTAATTTCTTAGTCACTAAAATATGAATAAATGTTGATTAGATGTGTAGCTCTGTTTTTTTTTCATCTTCCTGTAGATCTTCCTCTATATAATTTGGTAATTTATCTATATCTATAATTATAATATACTCAAAAGAAAGTTAGGTTAATTACACTATTTATAACTCAAGAACGGTTGAACCGATTCTTTTAATAATTGGCGGGGACTCATAAGACCTATTCTCTAAAATATTCTCAAAAGTTAATTTGCGAAATCACTTCTGAATCCGCGGTAAAATAATGCTTATTTAAAGTTTCGTATACTGAAATGGAGTGAAATCTACATTGGCGCCACCATGTGACTAGCGAAGTGAATGAAACTATAGTCAGAATTTTAATTCGATTCCTGATTTGACAGTGACCACTGTCATTTTGTGAAATAATGATACCACATAATATAACAGTGTAGTGATGAACACAAAAATCGATAAATAATCAGTGAATCAGTTTCAGGAAGGCATTCAAAAAATTATGGCTACCGAATGGTCTAAATGTGTATCCCATGTTTTCAAACAAGAGGAAAAAATGAGTAAGCTAGATATGTTAATTGACAATAAATATCAGAGACACAATTCATAACAAATGTTACATAAAGTAACAGCGATAGCGATAGCGATGACGGCGACAATTTATAAAATGTCTGTTTTATTTGTCACGTTCCTTCATGATCACATTTTTTATTAATTTCACACACAATTACAAAAGAAAAGTCTCAGATCGTTAATTAATTGTCAAAACTAAATTATCGGTTCAGAAATATTTTATTTCCTGATAAACATAGTTTACGAGAGTAAATTTATAAACGAGAGGAATCGATTCAGAAATATTCGATTTCCATATCGAATAATTTCGCAACGTCACTATTTATTACGTATCATAACGTTGCCACACTGAAATTGTCAAATCTGGAATGGAATTAAAATTCCGAGTATAAAACAAGCGAGTATTTTGACGTTTCTGTACAGGCGAGATGAGAAGCTAGGTGGTGTGACTTTCGAGATGAGATTTACCATTTACAGAATAGGATGGATATAGAATATTCTACTTTTTGACTCTTGCAAACTACCCACTTCCCTAAAATGGGGTGGTAATTTTATATGGGACTTTTTAGTTATTGTCAAACAAAAAAATATAGGTACAAACCCTTAGTGACTACCTATCACACTGTTCTTTGGTGTCATAAATGCCCAGATTCTTTTGTATTTTCCGAAAAGAAGTCATACAGTATCTTCTAATGTAGTCTAGTAGATATTTAATTTAAAAAAACATTGCCCTCACTAAGACTTTGTCCTTCCATGGGTGCTTTTACAAACATACAATTTTTATATACACATCACACACAACTATGTGTTGATAACTCAAAGAGTTGTTCCGTGAGGCAATCGAATCCGCGACACGTTTTACGGCAGCCAGTTCAGGAAAAGGGAACCGTTTTACAACCAGTTTGTTTTTTTAAATTTATCCAGGCAAAGCCGCGGGTAAAAGCTAATAGGTAATGAAATAAAATCGCAAAAACGACAAAAAAACATTTTTCAGAGTAGAAGGTATAAGCTAAAACCACTTTACTATTTTCGAGGAAATCTTATCATAAACCCAATAATATTTTGTCAATCGCATCACGCACTAGGCATTTTCTTATAAGTAGATACGGTTTATATTTAATGAGAGAAATGAGACTGAGATTTTAGGAGACATCATTTCGTCGGACGTTCATATTCCCAAAAGTACCTACTACACACCTTCTAAAAATATTTAAGTAGGTACCTAATTCAATAATTAATTAGCAAAGTCCTTCAAGAGGAACGATTAATTTACAAATTCCCACAAACAGAATAGTATCTATGTAATGTTTATTAATTTCATAAAAACTTACCTGTTCGCGACGAATATAAATAAAATTAATTACTTAGGTAGGTACGTCCCTGCAATAAGCCTTCAGATAATACTTACCACGCTTAATTAATCTTTTTGCGTAGGTATGGGTGGTACCTACCCATTATGCCCGGTCCCTATAACCCCTGTCACAAAGTCCATTACGAAGAAAAAGGCTTTTGTTGCCCCCTACAAAAGAGTAGGTAATTTAATACCACTTATCTTTGACCAGTTATAAATAACACAAGGCGGCGTAACTTCTAAGTATCTAATGGACCCTTTTATCCGCCTATCAATCAATTTCTACTATATAAGGGAGGATTTTTTCCCAACACTCTCAGTCTTTTACGAAATCTGGAGAAAGCTGTAGTTAGTCATGGTAAGTTCCACATTCAGTATTTGTATTTCATTAACTGAACGAATAAGTATTTTATAGTTTCTATGCTTAGATAAAATCTAGATACTAATACTCTATTCTAATGACTTGTTTCATCGTACCTAAATTTGAATATAGAAAGTACCTACCTACGATCTTGAACTTATGAAAGAGGAAACAGAAGTGCCAGTTAAATATGCTGTTTGATTTTTAACTTGTGAAAGCTATTTTAATGGGATTAGCGATAATGTCATGCAAATGCTTCTCATACTTCGGCTTACTTACCCCGCCGGGCAGATTTTTTTTAGAACCTTAAACTTAGACCTTTTTAGAAACGGTTTTTCTTTTTCGTACACAGTCCATCATATACAATCCATTATAGTTTCTATCTAGAATTAAAGTAGGTAGGTGCTCAGGCTACTGGCTTAGCGTCAAAACAATTTAGGTACTCTGCATGTAGGTACGGTAGGAAAACTTAGGTGATTTTGACTTTAACTCGTACATTTTTAATTTTCAGATAACACGACCGTTAGTTTTCGTGATAGTATGTTTTGGATTCATCATTTTACTACAATCGCTGGTACCAAAGGTGATGGCATTGAAGAATTCTAACGTTGATGAGTACATGCTCGAAGACCAAAGAACACGTAAAAGAAAAAACTATGTTGTGCGATTGGCAAGAGACAGTGAAATATTAGGAAATTCTGGAAACTTAGGCACCAACTATGACACAGATTCTTTTCAACCCGACCCAACGAATCCTGAAGAACTATCTGCATTCATTGTGGACTACGCCAATATGATACGCAACGATGTCATCCTATTAGACAAATCTGTTGAAACGAGGACACGGAAAAGGGGCAACATTCAAGTTAAAAAGTATAACAATGTGAGTATATATTTTTTATATTATTCTTGTGAGTTCCTCGTCCCTATCGTCATTTAGGAAATTAACATTATGAAGTCCGTTTACGACATAATATCTACCCGGCATCGTTTAACAGTTTAACTATTTACCTTTTTAGTTCTGACTGACTAGCTTTCAATAAATATCTTTTACTGTGTGATTGGCTTGGCTTCTGCCGGAATTGGTGAGACACAGTCACCATTCAAAGAAAAAATATAGGTTCTGCTGAATCAGTTTGAGTATCATGCAACTATTATTTTTTACTTAGGCGTTATTTTGCTTGTTTTCAGCAAGCCCTGCCGGATCCGCCCTGCACGTGCAACTTTAGCGTAAGTACCTATGAGAAATTAAATATTATTAAGAATTATTTTTTATTTAGTTTATATTTACGAGTCTATGTCACTTTCAGAGAGCCATTGAAGATTTTGGTGAAAACACGTATCCACGTTTTGTGGAGACTAGAAATTGTAGTCAAGCACGACAGTTGGCATGCCATCGACCGTATGTCTGCAGAGAAAACTATTACAACGTAATTATAAACCTTTTTATCTCGGCGATATGAGTGTTTTTTGTGTAATTATCAATGTGTTGTTAATATTTCTTTTTTTCTATTTTAGCTAACTGTTTTAAAAAGACGGGAGTATCAACACCAAATCTCTTCAATAGATCTGCCATCCGATCTAAAATTTCGATGGATTGCGGAATATCGGCCTGTTAGCGTTGGATGTGTTTGCACTAGAGATTACTACGACATTGAAAATTAACCGTTTCTGAAGCAAAACCGCGAAGCAGACTGGAATATGTCTTTCCAAAGGTATCAGATAAATCTGTGAATAGAGCAATCTTGGGCATATTTTGAAAATAAAACTGTAGCTCTTATATTGCATTTTTATTTGCCGTCTGTAATATCAAAATACTTAATTTGTTAAAGTACTTATTGCACATTGCTTTAAATACCAATTTCGCTGTATTACAATAATTTATTGATTAAATTAGTAGCCAGATTATATTTCAATTTAGTAGATTCCTGCATCTAATCATATCTTTGTAATAATCATATTATCTGTTTTCTCATAGACAATTTGAATTTTTTTTTTAACTACATTATGTAATTAATTTAAATAAAGTAAACATAACTTATTCAAAAACGTACTTTAATAAATATTAACATTGACTAAATATTTACATAATTAAACATTGTTTATTGCTTTTAATAGTCAATAACAAAAATGTTACATATAGACTCGTTTTTAAAAGTAACAGAGATGAAGAAGACAGAAAACAGAAATTAAATTTTTACGTTAAAAAGCCTTTATACTAATGTGTTTGTTTAGGTTGAGTTGAATGGAAGATACTTCTCTATGGTATCGGAGATCACGTTAAAGACAGTACAGTTTCATGGGCCGCCGGAGTTGGGACCTCTCCCAATTGCGGCAGAATATGTGTTATCGCAACTCTTGTCTCATTCATCATGCCCATCTCGCGACGCAGTATTTCTTCAGTCACGGTGTGAATAGATTTAAACTTCAAGTTAATCCCATGCACTTTGTAAACATGGTTATTCAAGTTCACTTTGTAACTAAACGCCACGTTGCAGACCTGGAAAAAATATTTAATTAGTAAATATGTGAAGAAACTACAGAATTTTTATTAGGAATCTGAAATGAAATTCTTTGTTTTGGACAGATATACTCCTGACAAATAAAGGTTGTTGTAGTTTTAAATAACAAAGTGCTGCCTAAGATGACTTAGTACTATACGTATTTTAACATTCAACAACTGTACTTACTTCGCATTAATATGGGTAAAATCGAAGTAAGCAATAAAAATTAGTAGAGAATCAATCGCGTTCCGTTATACAAGAGACCAGCAGCAATAGCCAGAAAAATATAGTAAGACTAGTGTGATTTGTTTGAAGATTACAATCATATTGAGCCTACTGACCTCGCAAGTATAGGGCCTATCGCCAGTGTGGGTAATCATATGGTTCTGGAGGTGGTGGCTTTGTGTGAATTTTTTATTGCAGAAGCTACAGTTGTACCGTTTTTCTCCAGTATGGATCGCCATATGGCGGCGCAGGCCTGCCATCTGGAACGTGACAATAAGATATAGAGAAGACAACGCACCTGGCATGTGTACGGCCGCTCCCCGGTGTGCATTCTCTCGTGGTTTTGCAACTGATGTTTCGCGTTGAACGACATTGTGCAAGTGTTACATTTGAACGGTTTGTAACCAGAATGTATGCGCAGGTGCCGATTCAGATCGCAACGCTGAAATACATCAATTGCATTTTGCACTTATTTTTTTATATTAATTTTATCAAGCACAAATCAGGGGATTTTGAAATACAGCCATTCATAAAATTTAATACTATAAAATTAACTATAATACTTACAGCAATGAACCTCTTGGTGCACAAATTGCAGGAAAATGGTCTCTCTCCTTTGTGAATTAAATTATGCCTGAAATTAATACGAAAACAAATTTAGAAATGTTACTGCTAAAAATAATTTCGCACATAGTACTTTTTGAAGATGCTATGCTTACCTAACCAGAGATTTCTGACTGTAAAACCCAGCTCCACATACTTCACAAATATGGTCTTTTATTCCTGTATGTTGTTTAGCATGTATTAGCAAATTACTTTTCTGCGCAAATGATCTCGGACATTGAGCACAAGTGTACCTTTTCTTTTCTGAAACATATTAGAGAAGAAATTGAAAAAAAAAACGAATTAAGTAAAATTTGGAACAGTTTTTACTTTTTTTAATACTACTAAACTCATGCTTGTCTATAATGCTCATGTTTGTCTATAATTCATACTATAGACATAACTAAGAAAAACAATGAATTTGAGAATGTTTTATTCTATTTTTTGTTCTTTCGTTTTCTTTTATTTTTTTAACCCAAAATGGGGTTAATGGTATAAAATTGTTTTTCGGCAGCCTCTTTACCAGCAGTCAAGTTTAATGGTTTAGCAACAAGTGGATTCGGATGCAAATCCTTTGTGTTGCGTTATATCGCTCCATTTCAGTGGATGATATGTGTAGGATAGTTGTGGAATTTGTTGTTTGTCACAAATATGGGCCCATTAATGTTTGCTCTTAAGATTCAACTTTTAACACTGTGCAGACAGAGTATGTTGGTTTTACTGGCTGCTTAACTATACGGAGCTTATAGCTTATAGTATAAACTCCAGAACAGAATTGTAAATAAGCAGTCAGTAGTAGTAAAGTCGCATACACTGTCTGGTTGTAAACATGATGTGTTTAGATTTTGTAGCATTGGCGCAAATGTGTCACTTACAGAGCTACGCAAGTTCTGTTGTCTTTTACTAGCCAATTCAGGGATGTAGTGTGACTGATGATACAGTATATTTATCTGTTATAACTATGCTATATCACCAGTGTTAGTTGTTCCAAGTATGTCATTGATTGTAAGCATATCCAATTATATAGCACTGGGCCAAAAACTGATCCCTGTGGTACCTTCTCCAGCTTCCACTTAAAACAATCTATAGATCTTGCTTCACCCTGTTTCACTTATCAACTTAGTAAAAATTCTAACTTACCCTGATGTGTTGCCATGTGATTGCCCAATGTAAATGTGAGTATACCACAGACGGGACAGACAAGCTTTTCTCTTTGCTTGGAGACACTGGTCCGTACCATTCTTACAGGTTTGTCTCTGCGCACTACTTTCACAGTTTCAGATGAAGATGACTGAGATTTAGGCTTATAACCCGAATGAACTTTCAAAATTGTTGCATCCTTGGGTCTCTTTAACAAGATAGGCGAGCCTCTTGAACCATTCTTCAGTATTGGATCTGTAAATTATATTTTTACAATGAAAATCATTTGCAGGTCCAAGTCATAAAAAAATAAGTCATTTTTATTTATTAAGGCTTATGTAATGCCCTGGTTTATAACATAAAAAAGTAATTTATTTATTTGAATGAAAAAGTAGGTACTTACAGCAAGTAATGGTAGTTGACCGTGACTTATTTTCATCTCTTGATCTGCCAGAATCAAAATCAACTTCATCCTTAATTTTTTTCAGAACTTTTACTTTTCTGACAACAGTTTTACCTTTGAAAACCTTGATATCTGACAATTTGGGTTTCTTAAATTTGGTTTTAGGTTTCTCAACAGGGGGCACGTAATCATCATCATCATCATCTTGGAAAACATCTTCTTCTAAATATTCAGCCTACAAATAGAAATTTTATGAAATTTGTAATCCAAGATCTAAGGCAGAGACTGAAAATATTAAATAATGTATAATAAGTGTTGACAAATTGCTAATACATTGTACTGTACAAAAAATACAGTTAGCAATAAATACTCACATCTGGATCAATTTTGGTATAATCTGAGTTACTTGAGGAGCTCCAAGTTAGTTGTACATCATCAGTGCTATCCAATTTTATATCCTCTGCATTTGGATCCACTTTCCTAATAACAGTGTTAGCAATGACAATATCTTTTCCCTCCATTGTTTCAACAGGCTTAGTGCTTTCTGGTATTTCAATTTCCATTTCCCATTTTGGCTCTGGCTTTATGGTCAATGGTCCTATTTCACTCTTGATATCAGTAAAGGAATCAAATGCGATTTTTTTAGTAGGCACATTTTCTTTTTCTCTTGCTAGTATTTTCCTCAGTTTCTTATCTGATCTGTAATAGGTAATAAAATTATTTTATACAATACACTTGTTTAGTTTAAGATGTATTGAAATTTATACAAAAAATAATATACTATTATAACAACATAGAGTGTAATCAAATAGGCTGTTCATGAAGATATAAAATTCAATATTGATCGAATATACCAGTGAATGTTAGTACCATTAACATAAAAAAAGCAAAACCTAATAAAATACACATAACATACATGTCCACTTCTTCTACACTTAGCTTACGATTATTTTTGTTAATACTACATATAAAAAACTCTATAAGAGACACAAATTATGTATTAAATTTAATTTTACCTTTCAGCCACAGTTTTAAGTAAGTATGCCTTTTCCAAAGTTGTGCAGCATTTAAGGCAAATCTTTTCAGGCAAGCCATCATTAGAAGAAACCTAAAACCAAATAAATTATAATGCTTGACTAATTTTTAACTGCAACAACAAAAGCTACCAAACAACTGCATAAACTTGTTTCCAAAATATCATTGTCTCAGTATAGTGATAAACGAAACAACACACATTAATGACAATTCATTTGATGAACTTTAGTTAAAGTTGTGATTTATGTTAGATAAGTAACGATTTGATAAACGATCTCTTCGTTTGTTTTGGTCTGATATTTGTAGCAAACTGACAACTTCCTATTCCTAGACCCGCTATTTAGTATGTACAAAATAGAGGTATTAATAACTTACCTTTACATCGGCAATCGCTGTTAACATTTCAGCATAATTACCCGACAACTTGTATCTGAATAGAGGACATAATGGTTTTTTGTTTGTCAAGCATATACGACATGATTTCATGTCGACAGTATCCATTGGATCTAGCATAATTCAATAACAAAACAAAACTAAAGTGATGGTAGTAATCCGTTTTTATATCGAAGCCCGAAGCACTTCACTTTTCCTAAATTCTTTAGGGATTGCTAGCGGCGTGTAATTTTACGACTATCTCTTCTTCACCACCTCACTACGTCACCATAGACAATGAAAAGGAAATGGTATGCGTCGCATCGCTCCGCTCACTAATCAATGTTGCCAGTTGCCAATTGATTCTGTAATCCTTTTTTTACTTTTATACCACCAATATCATAACGTTTTGGGTCAATTTTAGAGACAGCTAGTATTTTACATTTGTTTTTAATGAAAACACTCAAGGATGACCCTATTTTGCCAATGATATACATAATTGGAAAATTATATATCCATTAAATTTTTCATAACCTCCAAGAAGTAAAAATATGTCAACAAATTCAAACAATTGGACCAGAGACAACTACAGCTCCAAAATATTGCAGAATCGTAGTTGTCAAAATACAAGTCAAGTCAAATGTGTGGTGTTGGTGTGAGAGGAAAACAGGACTTAATTACGGTTTATTTTATGATCTATGTCTAATTTATATAGGATTAACTGAAAGTATTTATGTCTCCGCACGTTGCCGTAACATAAGAACACTCATTACTTTTAAAAACTGTTGCGTAAAAAATGTTATAATGGCTACCACCTACGAAAATTGGTTGAGTCGCAGGAAAGGTAAATATTTATAATTTATTTAATAACTATTTAAACAATCTATTAATACCCTATTTAGATACATAGATCATTACTCTAGGCATTCTGTTATTTAAATGCACTCAAATTTAACATTTCTTGATTGATACATGCTTTACACATTTCAGGTAAACAGAGTGATTTATATAAATTGGATACTAAGAACAAAACACCGGAAGAGAACATAAAAGAAATAATTCAAGGCCTTTATTTGAAGAAACCATTTCACAATGACACCTCTCCCACCAACAAGACTAATCCTATGGAATTTAAGTCAGGTCTTAGAGGCATGCAGAAAAGTGGATCTGATAGCCGTAGACTGTCCTACTTAAATGCCTTAGTCACACTATTATGTAAGGAAGACAGAAGCAATTTAGGGTTCACTCCTGATGAGCTGATGACTTGGTAAGAATATATTCATCAAAAGTGTAAATTACTGTAAATATACCTACAATACCCAACTGGTAAACAAGGAGGTTATGTTATTAAATTCAATGAAAATTTTACAGGAAGTCTTTACTTTTAAATACCTGGTTATATTTATCTAAGCATTTAATAAAAAGATTAAGAGTCACTTAATATTTATGTGTTTTAAATATAATAAATCATATTTGTTTACAGTATTCGTGTAAGTCTTGTGGATGAATCTATGGTAGTAAGAGCCTCTGCCCTAAGAGTGCTAAGATATTTAATCAAAACAGAAAGTGATGTAGCAACATTTAACAACTTGAAATTACCATTCCTAGTAATAAGGTAAGCCCTATTTTCATTTATGTATAATATGTTGCCATTCAGTTATTTGATATTCTAATTTATTGAGATTATAGTGATATAGATAAGCGATGTTAGTTTGAATTATGTTATTAGTGTGATATGTGATTTTTCTCGTAATCATTTTTGTTTTATGTTAATGTTTCTGATTGCTTCTTTTTGATTATATAATAGTCATGAAGTCAATGACTTCAGCCATTACTCTAAACTGGTTTACTTGTTGCTTTTCATGTTTATTTACAAGGTCTATTTATTTAATAAGGAGTTTGCATGACTCTTTCTAAACTCTGTTCTGTCTCTGCACAAATTACAACATTTTTATTTATTTATCTATGATTTTAGACACATATTTAGTATTTTTTTTCTTATAATATTGTCTGTTTGATTTATTATATACACCACAGAATCACTATCTACTAGAAGAATATTAATTTAAAAGGAAATTGAAGTCAGTTTTTTTTTTAATACTAAGCATATTTATTTTTGTGATTGGTAAAATTTGAGATGACTTACTTTTTTAGGTCAATGGATTTAATGCTTCGCAATGAAGAAGAACGAGCGCAAGCTTTGCGTGTGGTTCGGCGAGTGGTGGCGATAGTAGGGTCGACCCAAGGAGTTCGAAAACAACGCGGTGCGTTTGTGGAACAGGGTTTGTTACGGTGTCTCGCTGCTGTCGCCCGCGCAGCCAGCGCTGGTGACGGTACTGGAGATCGGTTGTCACGTCCCGCTATCGCCACACTTGCTGAAATCTGTAAGTAGTTATTGTATTCTTTCTTATTTTCTGCTAGATTGTCTATCTATGAGACCTTTTTTCTGCCCTTATCCCTAGCTACTTACTACATTCTCAAGAGCTATTTCTTTCTTTTTTATAGTGTTCTCTTATATAGATAAATCAATCTATTTATGTGATAGTAGTATTTTTTATAGAAAACTAGCGGCCGCGGTGCGATGAATATATGTATATCTGTATATATTTTTATGTATAGATAACGACTTAGCTCTACTTGTTTTAAGTCGCAACGGGACTCTCATGGGTCGAGTGAGAGAGACATCGCGGAGCCGACTGGCTGGTCGCCTTGTAGTGAAAACAGTACAAATAATTGATTGTAGACAAATTGTATGATGATCATTTTTGCAGGTGTTCTCAACCCTGATATGTTCATATCATGTGGTGGTGTGAACGCCGTGACACGCCAGTTAGCAGAATGTGCGACACCTCGCATGGCCGAGGCGTTGTGTGGAGTGTTACTCCACGCACTGAACGATCCCACGTCGCGAAGATCCGCTCGCATTGACCTTATGTGTCTCAGTTCACCATACTGTGATTTTCATTTCCGTCCAGCCGGTACTGAGACCAGCAGGTTTGTGTTTTATCTTCTGATAACGAATAATTAATTGCATTCTATTAACTATAGCTTTTTTGTATTTCTCACTCACTTGATTACCATTACAAATTTAATCTTTTTATTTATTTAGAGATGAACGCGAGATGCGATTCACGTGTAGTCGCCTCGCCCTTCTTTGTGTACTGAGAAGTTGGCCTGGGTTGCTCCACTTCTGTCACCCATGTAGCACTGGTGGGCTGCGCGCTCTAGTCGACGCCCTCTATCTACCGCGATTAGAGGTTCGAGTGAGTAAACCAGATTCAAATTTAATGTACTTCAAATATTTTTTTTTTTTTATAAAATTTAAATAAATTATGAATACATAATGTTTTTTTTCCAGAAAGCGATATTAGATCTCTTGTATGAACTAGTCGGATTGCCACAACCAGAATGGACAGATGAGATATCTGTAGCTTTAGATGCAGTTGATCCATCTGACTTTCAAGTAAGTTTTATTTATTTCTATTAGTTTTTTCATAGATCCTATCAATTTTCGTTTGTTATTACAAAAATAATATTTCAGGACTCCTGGCGGTTAAACGAAGGTTTCGTTGCCGCTGAAGGCGTTGCCATATTACCTCATCTTGGTGCTACGGGCCCTGATATAATAGAAATTCATCTTGCACTTTTACTTCAGTGTTTCTTAGAGGTAAGTTATTTATTTATTATTTATAAACTTTATCTATGTAACTTAATTAAATATGAAATATGATATTTTATACTGTTTGTTATTTCAGGCTGGATTATTAGACGGATTAGCTGAAGTGATTGTGACAAGTGATACTTTTATATCGGTCCGAGCGACTGTGTTGCTGGGCCAACTGTTGCATTTAATACACCTGTACCTACCTCCCCAAATATGCAGCATCACGCCGGCGCTGCCGACGCTGATGTCGCAGGCGGCGGCGGGCCGGCCGGCCGCGCTGGCCGCCGTCGCCGCGCTGCGCAGGCTGCACTCCATGCTGGAGGCGCGCCCCGCCACCAGCAGTCTGTTCCTAGACCACATCATACAGTATTGTAGTGGTGCATTTAGAGACAAAATAGAAGATATTACTAAGAGTCGAAAAGAAAAAGACAACGCTAGTATGGTTAAGCCTAAACCTGATGTTTCCCTCCATAAAGAAAATAGTATTGAATTTTTTAATGATTCTGATAATGAAAACGAGCCGAAACAAAGGCATAGTGTTGGTTCACGGGCCGATGTTCCTAACAGAAATGTGGGTGCTTTAGTTAAAAGTAAAAGTGTTAGTTCTCGGACTAGTGCTGCAGTCAGTAGAGTTACTAAAACAGCAAAGTTCTTCAATCTGTTCGAGCGAGACAGCGACAATTTGATTAGATGTACTTTGGTTATGCAGAATAAAGATGGCAACACTTGGAATTGGGAAATAATAAGGACTATATTAAAGGTACCACTATTTTTAATTTGAAGATTCTCTTTTCTCAATAAGAATTATGGTTTATCTATGGTATTTTATTGCAGGAGAATGACAGTCCCCTTTTAAATCTCAACGACAGTGGTCACAAAGCGTGGGTGACCCGTATAATTAACTACCTGAAGCCATCTTCCAATAAGTATTCTCACACGGATTTGTCTAGTACTTGCCATGGCCATTCTGCTACTCGTGCAGGTTGCCAACTAATTAGGCATTTGTTGAAACATAATGATGTAAGTGTAACAATACAATAAATGGATTTTATCATTTGTGTACATAAATAAAACTAAGATATATATTTCAGTTTGAGTGCCAAAGATTGTTAGAAGAATTGTTCTTGGACGTAAGCCGTCAGATTGAGGCTATTGAGACTGGTCTGAAAGCCCACGAGTGTTTGTTTAGTCCACAACACATGTGCAACACTATGTGTCAGATGTACTTCCTATTCATTGGACAACTTTGTCATTCACAAAACGGTTTGAGGCTATTTAAACAGACTGGATTGTACCAGAAGTAAGTCAAATTGTACAATTACTAAATAACATTTAGTGTTATTTTATATGGTTCTAAACTTCTAACAATTATATACTTACAGCCTTTTAGAACTGTCAACGCGAACTCACCATAGCTGCTATGTTAAGTTAGTGATATCCAGCTTAGACTACACTCTGGACTCCTTCCCAAGGGACATATTAGCTAAGACACTAACATGCAATATTCAAGCTTCAAGACTATACGCGACACAATTTCTGAACGTCCTTTTGAGAGCATCTAGGAAATCCCGCGAATTGGTTCGTAGAAAGGCCAAATTGAAGAAAACTGTTGTAAATGATCATCTTAAAACGGCACAGAAAGATAATAGTGATGGTAACAATGGTGTGGACATGGATACCTGGATATTACA